TAGAGATTATTTTAAATTTCTGAACAATATTAAGTTTTTTATGTAGAATTTGTTTTGCAATTTTTGCTCTGCGGAATTCTCAAATAAATGATGACAAAAATTCTGAATAATTTCACTGAAAATTCTTTACATTAATATTTTATAAAGAAAATAATCAACTTTTCTAGTTCTTCAAGAGTTTCAGAATGAAAAGAAATTTATTACAAAATTTGATTCGATTTATTTTATCTCTAGATTTTTGCCCTCATTTTTAGCTTAAATTTTGAGCCTCGATACACTTCTTTATTGAGTTCATTGTTTACTTGTCTTTCAATGAGCTTCAGTGTTTTTCTTCTTAATTTTGAAGATAAAAAGAGGAAATTTCGTTTTATTATGTTCTATGTATTCTCAAGGAATCAAATTGTCAGCTAAGAAAAGAGGAAATCACGTTTCCTCAGCGCACGAAACGCAGCCCCTCAAGTTTGCATGGTTGTATGGTATATTTTTTTTCATTCTATTTTTTTATTATGCCCTCTTGGAGGATCAAGTATCAGTTAAACGGGGGGCCCAGCAGAAAGTATGCGTGCGTGTCCAAACATTATTCTTACGAACTTCCTGTTCGCAGCAGGTGCAATGTGTGTTTAATTTGTCTACAGATTTGACAGGCCTTTTGTTTCACAATCACTCTGCGTTTAACCCGTGCCACAATCAAATCCGAAAATTACCTTCCTTTCTTAGGAGGAAATCAAGCCGTTTATCGACCTCTTGTGGCATCACGTGCCACCCACGTATACAAATCCTTGGTATTCCGACACAAAACCGCGACGATTGTATTTAAAAAGTATATAAAGATCAAGAGAAGTGTTTAATTGCTTTCATGCAATAATCAAGGCAACGAAAGTGTAATTGCTGGAGTCGACGCGGAATTTCACGGTCCCCCTGTTTTTTGCCGCGATCACGGATCATGACGCTTTTTAATTTTTCTTCTTCCGCCGCAAATTCTTTTATGTTATTTCTCGGCGCATTCACTTCTCTCACAGAAATCGAGACGGAAACTGAGAGAAGATGAGAGTAAAATAATTTTTACTGCTGTTAGGTGTTTTATTCCACGGAAAATGGTATGTCACGATTTGGGCGCACCAATCCGAGAATAATCGGTCACACATCTTTTGAGGTGGCTGCACCGGAAAATGCACCGAGATGAATTTCGTACAATACGGAGCTACAGTGTCACTTTTTGAAGAATATAATTTTGCTGGCTTTCATCTTTGTGTTGTAATTCTAATTGCTCTAGAAGATTCTAAAAGTTATAAAATGCACTAATAATTTAATCTCATTTTTACCCCTTCGATTTTAGTTTCAAAATCATGTTTATTAATGTATCATTTTATCAAAATATTCACTGCTGTATTGTTAAAAGATGGAAAATTTAAGGAAAAAAATAAATTATACTTAAGATCACCTGAATAATAAAGAGATTTCAAAATGCACATGAAGAGAAACTCAAATTTACCATGCATATTTTAATATCATAGAGATTATTAAGTCTAGATTTTTCAATTTACTTACTAAACTAAGATCACAAATTTTAAAATCCACAATTCTCCAATTTAAAAAAAATAATAATAATATTCACCACTAAAGCTATGCTCGAGGAGTAAAATTTTGTTTCACCTTTTTGGCTCTTTTCAATAAAATTCACCTATATTTAATTGATAATGGGGAAGAAATTCACCACATAGGGGACTTTTTCCGCCAAAAATCACCCTCGTCTCAAATCATCTTAAAATAAATTTGTGCAATATTTTTTTATTCAATGCAAATTAAAATGTAAAATTAAGGAGCAATTTCACTTTTTCCCCATCACTCGCAACTCCAATTTATGCGAAATTAAATTCTGCCGAACGCACTGCGCGGATATTACATTTTTTTTTATGAATTTAAATAAACGTGCACGTCGGAAAGAAGCGGAGCATGAACGCGCGAGTGAACATTCTGCCCCTTTTCCTTTTTCCTGCCGCCAAATAACGCGTGTTCGTATCACCGCATTATAATGAATACATTATTTGTGTGTGTATTCGTGACCAGTGGCAAAAAATGTAAAGCGGCCACACACTGCTGCTCTCGAATATATATGCAGTGGAAAAGTGCAGCTTTTTAGTTTAGTTACGGAGCGAGACTCCCACGCAGCGGGGGATGACTCACGCGGACACCTGCCCTTTTCCACCACAAACTTGCTCCCATGCTTTTTTGGCTGTTTTATCTTTTGCTCGTGGATTGTACAGAAAAAGAAAACGCTTTGACTCACAATGTTTTTCGAATTCTATTTCAGGAGGAACTATATTTAAATATCTCTATAGTTAAAACAATTAATTTGAAAGCATAAATTTCTCAGCATTTTTTGAGCCGGAATTTCCAAAATCAAAAGGAAATCAGTTCAGGACATTTCTTAGTGTACAAACTTTAAAATTCATTAAGAAAAAGAAATGAAATTAATTGTTTTCTTTTAATTTTCAAATTTCTCTAAATTCTATTTCATTAATTTTTGAAATCATTGCTTTTTGTAATTGTTGCGCACAATATTGTCTTTTTTTTGCATTATTGATTTTGAAAATATCTAATTTGTTGAAATTTAAATTAATTTTTGAGTAAAATTAAAAGGATTTAACAATTCTGTTGCCTTGAGCTGTAATTGCAGCATAAAATAACTTAATTAGTTAATTGGTCTCATATTTAAAAAAAAAATTGTTATTTATTAAGGTACTTTCAAATAATTAATGCCCCGTGAAAGATCTGCGATATGTTTCCGATAAAAATTTAGTTCACTTTTTTTACCTTTTGTGAAATTTATTTCAGGTAAAAGAGCACACACTACTCCAATCCAACCTGTCTCGTTTTTACATAAATAACGTGCAGTACTTTGTATGCTCATGAAGCGCGAATTGAATTTCACCGATTCAGCATCTTCAATTTCTTATTTCCTTTTTGAACTGCTGCAGTTGTAGGAGAAAGGAATATTGGCACTAAAAAAATAAGAGAAGGATTTATACGGAGCCTGCCAAAAATTCCTCACCTGGTTTCTTTTCTTCATTTCCTGGCAAGCACACAATTAATATTTTTGCACATTTTTTTTCACATTGATTCATTCAAGTTAATTTCCTGTCCTTGAGAGTATAAAAAGTAGTGCTCGCAATCAATTTCAAAACTTCCGTGACACTTATATTAAAAAAAGATGTGGCCGCTGATAAAATTTCTTCGGATGGTTGACCGCCTCTCGCACCCACCGGCCAACGCGGGACCGAAATTTTGTTGGAAACGCACATGGCATGATAAAGGGACTCTTTTTTTTTGGCATGCTGTTGAAAAAGCTCTATAGGGAGATGGAGCTTCCGTTCGGCCTACTACAAGTATTCATGTCAATTTGCTGATGGCGTGGCCAAAGTTTAGAATTGAAAAAATTCTCATCCTAGATTTTAAATAACTTCTTTAAATTGGTTGTCTTCATTTATGTTTTATTTGCTTTGGAAAAATTTTAATCCTCGCTAAAACGCTCAAGATTTTATTACATTTATGAGTGATGCATTTTCACATAATTATTGCTTGGCCTCTTGCTTTGTAAATTTGGGACGCCGGCAAAAACATTTTTCTCAAGGTGCACTCAACAACACAGCATCATAAAATTTGATGACTTGTCGTAAATTTTCTAGTTTTTCATAACACTTGTTAATTATTATTAATATATTTATCTTAAGATTGCAAATAATTTTTAATTTTTATTATTTTAATTTCAAAAATTCAAATTGTTCCATTTTTCTGCATCATAAATAAGTATAAAATGAAAACATAAAATAGAAAAATTAAATTTAAAAGGTCAGAGAAAAATAGGCGCACACCAGTGCATCCTTTTCAATGAAGGTCAATAAAAATTCGACAAATTAACAAATATTTAAGAAAATTGCTTTATTTATTTAATTATTAATTTAATTCTAATTTTTTTCTGTCCCTTCCTGTCCTGATAGATGGTTTTATCTAGCATATTCCGCATGTTTTATTTATTTATATTTGAAATCTTTCAACTTGAACTTGCGGGGGATTATCAGTTCAAGCTGTGGTTGACACGCGAGGCATGACAAAATTCTTCATCAGGCGCAGGTCTTCAAGGATCTCGAGATCCTTGCACTATCAAAGTGCACTCTTTTCAGCCAACACAATGCTTTGCTACATAATTATCTGAATTATCACGGTGCGCAAGGTTAAGAGCAGCAGACGAGAAAGAGGCTGCCGTGAAAAATTAAGATTCAATTTTGCATACTAGATAAAATAAATAATGCGTTTTGAAAGCCAACTTCACGACTCGCTGCCGACTTAAGTTTTTTATTACAAAAGAATTTTGCTACGCGTCCAGTAATTGAGCTGTTAGATGTAGATTTTTCTAACGGAGCTAACCTGTCAAAAAAATCAGTTTGTGTGTTTTGTATCGGATATAAATGCATACAATGAGATTTAGTGCCTAACTAGCATGAATTTTTACAGTTTGGCAAATTTGAAATTTATTGCACCATCGTCACATTCTAACGAGAGGCTCGCGTCTGAGCATTGGCAACGCGTGTCGTTTTATGGAGGTTATTTTTATGGCACTTACGTTTGTTTCCGTCTTAAAAAATTTCAGAATTAAGAAAGATATCTCTTTTCATATAATAATGTCAGGATTATTCTACCAAAATTATTTATTTTTTTTTCTAAAAATTCGTTGGAAGTTTGATTAAAATTAATAATACCTCCAAAAATCATTAAGTTCATTGAGCTGTTTATTTTGTTCAAAACTCTTATGTCCAAGAAAAAATGATTCTTTTATAAAATTTTGTATGGACAAATCAGAATTTTCTGTTTTTTTTCCGGGGACATAAAATTTTCAACAAAATTAAGATAATTATTATTCATTTTTAGAGAATCTAGACACCAATTCCAGTTTAAAATTTTAAGAAATTTAGAAATATGGAAATATTAATGAAATAAAATACCTTTTTTCGTGTAATCCTTGTCTACCAGACGTTTCCACTTCCTTCTTTATAGAGACCAAGGGTTAAGTGCATCAACCGCAAAGCACGTTGGTTTGCAGTCGTAGACGGAGCACCGAGAGCAGACACCCTACCATCACCGTGCGCTAGTGGCAACTGGCAAAGAGCGCGCAGTCCAGGTGCCGCGAGCCCCATTAGTGGGCACTCAAGCGTGCAATAAAATATAATGCTGCTCTTTGTAACGCGGTGTCTATGGCTTAAAGCGTCTGGCAAATTCATTGTTTTTGTAAAATATCTACTTTTGTTTTATCAAAACTATCATATTTTGAAAATTTTCAGCCGGAGAATAAATTATTTAAAAAAATTTCTCGTAATTATAATTAATCTTGCAACTGCTCACAACCTTGATGAAATTTGATTATTTTTTTAATACGTTTTGTAAGCTCTCTTATTTAATTGATTTTAAATTTCCTTAAAAAATTAATCACAAATCAAAAGAAGTTATTTAAGATTTTGTAATATTTTATTCCTAACATACAACAGCATCATGATCAACACATGACATTTATAGAATTATGTACAAAGTATGCTTTGCCCCGGGAAATGATGTGCTTAGAATTGCAAGCAAAACTAAACGCAGTGTTTTTCTTATCAGAAATAACTTATGTGAGACGGTCTACATAGAAATCAATCCTTCCTCCAAGACGGTGTCAACGATCTCCTCAGTATTTGGATTCCTTTTGTTTGATAACCGCCTGAACGCACTTTGCCATTGTTGGGGATGCTCTGCTGATGCTGTCGGTCATGAAGAAGTCTTCCAATTTCTTCAGCCTCACGTCCAAAGGAGTTGACGATACTCCACCCTGGACCAACTGAGACAAAATTTTTTATAATAAACAACAATAATTCTAATCAATAAAATCAATTTTAAATAGAAAAAAAATGTACCTTTGACAATTCTCTAGCTTGGGCAACAAAGTTTGCACTTTCTGCATCTCCGTATCTAACAAGGTTTGGTGACACTTCCTCGAGCCTATTTCTGATCTCGTCCAAATTATCGTAGGGAAGTTTGGCACCAACAATCTGTTTGGACAAAATAGTTATCGAATTTCATCTAAATTTAATAAAAAAAAATATTACTTCAGAAAGGGCTCTAATAATTTTCCAGTCCTCTCTTGCCATGCCAGGAGCTGTGACTGCGACCAAAGTTTCCTGTGCCCTGCCTTCGGTGTTGACGTAGGTGGCCTGCTTTTCGGTGTAGGCCGCGCCAGGAAGGACGGCATCAGCCATCGAAGCACCAGCGTCACCATGATGTCCTTAATTAGATTGAAAAATTAGTGAAAATTTTGATCTCCAATATTTAGCAAAAAAAAACCTTGGTAGATGACAAAAGCATCCTTGGGCAAATCTGCCCTGGTGATGGTTCCCTCGTCAGCGCCGAGAAGGAACAGGACCTTTGGTGGGTTTGCCCTAATCTTGGCCACGCCAGGAGTGTAACCAAGGTCAAGGGCAGCAACTTGTGAGGCCACTCTTTGCAGGACGTTCAAAACCTTCCACTCAGCGGGCGCCTGATGAAAATGTATTGCATTTTATCAATTAATTAAAATATTTTTGATGAATTACGCCTGAAGCAGCAGCATGTGAAATTTGTTGGGCGAGAGAAAGAATGGCCGCTCCGTCGTCTCTCTTGAGCTGCTCCGAACCCAAGATAACCATCGGGTGCTTGGCAGCAGCAAGCCTCTTGCTGAATGGGTGTTGTCCGCTGGCCAACTGTTTCAGGACGTCGGCAGTATTTCCCAAATGCTGTGAAATAACAAAATTTAAAAACTCTGAGAGAACAATAAAATCAGCTATTTTCACCTCGTATTCGTAGTTAAGATCAATCTTGGGCCCAACATAGCCTATTTCCAGCTCGTGGTGCAGGAAACCTTTCCTAATTCGAGAGTTGAGCAAAGGAGCCTCGTATCTCGGGTTGGTTCCGATAAGAAGAACAAGGTCAGCATCCTCAATGCCTATGAATATTGATGTAAATATAAAATACTTCAGAGAGAAATTGAAACTTGCCTGCAATTTTATCGTTGAGAAGGTAGTTGCTCCTCAAGTCAGTGCCTGATCCGTCCAAGGGGAAGGTCTCTTCGGTGTTCAAAGACTCTGATCCCAGTCTGTTGAGGAGATCCTTGAGGGAAATCAAGGATTCAGCATCAACAAGACCTCCTGCAATGGCAGCAATCTGGTTTCCGGGAACCGACTTGAGTGCCTTGGCCACGGAAATCAAAGCATCCTCCCATTCAACAGGAACCAGTTCGCCCTTGTTGTTCTTCAGCATTGGGGTTACAAGGCGTTGGCGTTTCAAACCGTCACAAGCAAATCGAGACTTGTCGGAAAGCCACTCCTCATTGATGTCCTAAAAATTTAAGAATTTCATTCTAAATGTCAATAATTTTTCAAATCTCTAACCTCGTTGAGTCGAGGAAGAATCCTGAGCACCTCCCCGGTTCTGGTGGACACAACGATATTGCTGCCGAGGGCATCCAAAACGTCAACACTGTCGGTCTTTCTGGTTTCCCAAGGTCGAGCCGTGAAAGAATAGGGCTTGGAAGTGAGGGCACCGACAGGGCAGAGGTCGATGATGTTGCCAGACAACTCAGAGAGGAACATTTTCTCGACATAAGTGCCAACCTGCATGTCATGGCCTCGTCCGGAGGTGCCCAAATCGTCAATGCCTGCCACCTCGGAGGCAAATCGAATGCACCTGGTGCAGTGGATGCACCTTGTCATGATGGTCTTGACCAGAGGCCCAATGTCCTTGTCCTCGACGGCCCTGAAAGAATAATCATTATTATTATTTTTAAGACGTCATCAGTTACGTAATTTTAAATCAATAATTTGAATAAGATTTTACCTCTTTCCCTCGTAGCTGATGTCTGTGAATCTGCTACGATCGCTGCCAAAAGCCATGCTCTGGTCTTGCAAGTCGCACTCGCCACCCTGATCACAGATGGGACAATCCAAAGGGTGGTTGACCAAAAGAAACTCCATCACTCCTTCCCTAGCCTTGCGGGTCATGTCAGAGTTGGTTTTGATTCTCCAGCCTTTCATCACAGGCATGGCGCAGGCAGCGACAGGCTGAGATGCAATACATTAAACTTCATCAATCGATAAAATGTTCAAAATATACCTTGGGCGACTTTTCGACTTCCACCAAACACATTCGGCAATTTCCTGCGATCGCCAATCGTTCGTGGTAGCAAAATCTTGGAATTTCTACTCCGGCCTGAGCTGCTGCCTGCAAAGTAAGATTCGTAAATATCACGGTCGAATTAGTGAATTTTTTCGTTCTCAAACCTGCAGCACTGTTGTGCCCGGGTCGACCAAGACGCTCTTGTCATCGATGAAAACTTCAACTTTTTCGGGCGCCTGAGTGCCAGATGCCCTGCTGGTCTGCACCAGGCATCTTGCGGAGTTTGCCGAATTCAAGGCCCGCAACAGGGGGACGCGCAACATCCTAAATTAGGGCAATATTTTGTTAATGATTTTTGTTTTTAAAAAGCGTCTTCGTTTATGTAATGGATGAATGGGATCAGCGCAAAAATACACGGATTTCTCGATAATTTTCTGTGCAATTGTGATTTAGAAGTTTAAATTACTTAAAATCCATTGTTATTGAAATAATTCTGGGCAAAGGAAGTGAAAAAATTTGATAAACTTGCCTGAAAACGACTCAAAATATGGGAAGGAAAATTTTTCTCCGATCTTCCCAGCTGATACAAATGCTGCCAACAAAACTGCGACGGGGTTATTGCAATTATTTTTTTGCAAAAATATTTAAGATTGTTAAAATTGGAAGATCTTATTTGAAAGTTTAATATTTTATTTCTTTAAAAATATTTTATCAAAATTTATGTGTGTATAATTCAAATTTTTGCTAACTTTGCAGAATTCCTGAATATTTGTCTTTGTTATGTTGGTTACAACAACTTTTTGCAAAAGACAATCCTAGTCAAATGAATTCTTCGGCATTTTTGCACTATTTTTCTTAAAATATTACGTAAATGGCTATGAAATTTAACTAAATATTTATTAAAAACATTTTTACAGAAATAAATTTGCTTGCAAAAATGGTCCAGCGCATTCAGTGATTGTTAAATTCAGTTGATAATTTGATCTTAAGCGCCCTCTTCCGGTCTGTCTTGCGGCTTTGACAGTCGTGTTTACATTCGACCAAACAGATTTTGATCGAATTTTCGGCAACATGATTCCCACACAGTACAAGAATGAAAAGGACATCAGCACCCTGAACGACGCTCTGGCCGACATCAGCTACATCGACGGGTAAATCGTACTTTCGCCGCATTCCACTTGTCATTTTTACACGTGTCGCTCACGCCTCTGTCCAGATACACTCCGAGCCAGAACGATGTGGTCATCTTCAACGCCCTGGGCAAGGCACCCCCGACCAAGCTGGCGCACGCCCTCAGATGGTACAACCACATCAAGTCGTTCGGCGACGACAAGAAGAAATTCGCCGCCTCCAAGAAGGCCCTGGCCGGTGGTGCTCCGGCCCCAGCATCCAAAGCTGATGACGACGACGATGTTGATCTGTTCGGCTCTGATGAAGAGGCATGTATTTTTTTATGTTTAGAGAAACATATTAAAATAGTAATTCATGAAAACTTATTTTTAAGACAATGAATAAGTTAATTTTTTTTTTTTAAGTCTAGGTTTTGTTTTATATAAAAACTTTTATATTTTTCATTTAATCTCATTTTATTTTTGCGGTAGAATCACTTTTTTTCTTTAAATCATCCACAGAACGTTGTAATAAAAAATAAATTTTCAGGACGAAGAAGCAGAGAGGGTGAAGCAACAAAGACTGAAGGAATACGCTGACAAGAAAAGCAAGAAACCTGCCCTTATCGCCAAGTCTAGTATTGTCCTTGATGTCAAACCTTGGGACGACGAGACTGACATGAAGGAATTGGAGAAGCAGGTCCGCACCGTCGAGATGGAAGGACTTGTCTGGGGAGCTTGTAAGTTGACCGAACAATTCCCGAATTATATAATTAATTTTATTCATTTTCTCCAGCCAAACTTGTGCCTGTCGGTTATGGAATCCAAAAGCTGCAAATTATGTGTGTCGTCGAGGACGAGAAAGTCTCCGTTGATCTGCTCACAGAAACCATTCAAGAGTTCGAAGACTTTGTCCAGTCCGTCGACATTGCCGCATTCAACAAAATTTAAGTTTCGATCATAAAATATTATTTAAAATTATAATAAAGGTCCCAATTTTTTCAACAAGAGAATTTTGGTTTTTCAAAAGAAATTGCCCATGTGAGAAACAAACACAAAATAATTGTAGTTTATTCGTACGTCCTGTGGGAACGTGATATATTATTATAAGTGCACTTGTGCATTTCTACATGCATATGTATTGAAAAAGATTCAGGTCACTTAACAAAGCACTAACCTATGCATTCATGAAATCTTAGACAATATGATTTGGTCCGCAGAGCGATTTGTATCATTTTTAATTCTGAAACTCGCCAAGTCTTTGATTCACAAGTGAGTGTCGCCGTTGACGCTCTTGATATTTTGGTTGATTTTGGGACTCGCCTCGACGTCATCCTCAGTCGTATCTAGTTCGTTGCTTTGTTTTGTGGATTTCCTTGGCCGTCTTCTCTTCCAACCGGGAACCCTTCAAGAAAAATATTCAAAAATCCACTCTTAAAACAAAATAAAAAGTTAACTTTTCTCCGGCAAAATGCCTTGAAATTTCCAGGAGGGTTCTGCCTTCAGTTTCGGGCATGAAGATGTAGAGTAGAACTGTTGCCACCAACGAAACGCACACGTAGATCCAAAATGTGCCGGCCAGAGTGAGAGCTTCCACCAGAGAGAAGTGGGTCTTGTTGGCCAGAAAGCCGAAAATGTAGCCAACAGAGCTCGCGGCCCCGCTGGCCATTCCTCGGACGTCTGCGGGAAATACTTCTCCTGGACGCAAAATGCGTTAGATCGATTTTTATAGTTTTTATTTACCATACCTATGAGAATCCAAGGCAAAAGTCTGATTCCCATGTGAGTGAGGAAGGCCGAGGACAAGAGGAAGGTCAGTGGCACCCACGAGGCTGTCACTGTGGGGTCGGACTGGCGGACCATGTCATAGGTGGCCGTGATGCCGAAGCAAGTGGCCGCTCCGACGGTTGAAATAAGCGTTAATGGTCTCTTACCTGGAATTAAAAATCATCAATTAATGGAAAAATTTTATAAATTGAAAGAAAATGGAAAAAGTTAAATTTTCTCTTATAATTTAAATTTGAAATTGACAGTAATTTTCTTCAATTCATGAAATTTTTCAGTTCTAAAGATTTATTTTTCATTGGAATAGAAATTCAATTTTTTTTTTCTTTTACCTGACCAGTGGACAACGACCACGCAGAGTAACGTTCCTGTCAGTTGGACCAATCCGAGCAGCATTGTGGCTTGGAAGGGGTCGATCGGTGCTCCGAGTTGCTCGAAAATGCTGACCGAGTAGGTCTGCAGAGTTGTCATTCCAGAAAAGTGTCCGAAGAAAAACGCGGAGGACACCAGGATGAAGGGCTTTACGAAGGTGGCGCGGGTGTAGGGCTTGAGATTGTGCTTGAAAATTTCCATCCTGGTGATGTGGCCGTCTTTGTGGACGGAAACCATTTTTGGTGTTTTCACTGTCTCGAGGAGGTAGTTGAACTCGTCTTGCACAGCCTCTTGTGTCACCTTTAAAATTTATATATTATTTTTTTGCCACATCCCACAAACACTGTTATTGAATTTCGTTGTGAAATTTCAGTGTATTGTCGAAGTTGCAAAATGTATGATTACAGGGTTTAAATTTTATCTGAAAGCTCATGTTGATTATCCTGGATTAACCAGTTTTGAATCGTTTTTATGAAATTGAATAGGAGCAATAAAATTGTGTTTGCGGTTTGAGGGAAACGAATTAATTGATAAAAGAGAATGGCAAATAAAGAAAGCTGTACCCATCCTCGGAGCCAGGCCAGAGATTTGTGCGCTTCGGCGACTCGACCCTTGGTCGCCAGCCAGTAAGGCGAGTCCGGCACCAGGAAGAGACAGCAAAACGCAGTCACCGGTGCAATGATGTTGTAGGCCGCGATGTCTCGCCACGACAACACAGTTGCGAGAAGAAACTGCAATCAATATTACGCAAAGATATCGGATTACAGATGATGCAATAAAACAGGTCGCGGAGGATTTGGTTTTTTGTCCAGCACTTTGACATGCTTGATTAAATTAAAGAAAGTCAATTATCACTGCAAGCAGATAATGAGCAGAGGAAAGATTGTTTTAATGAAATTAAAAAAAAAAACAAAAGAGGTTGGCTTCTAAAGACTGACTAGAATGAAATGTAGAACAAAAAGCTACTTTCTAGATGGCCAATGGAGGTTTGTTAAGGGTTTTGTTTTAACAAAATCTTCAATTGATTTAGTCTGAGGTCGCCATGAAAAGGCGCCGCGTGGCCAAATCTAAAATCAGGATAGCTGGTCCTTAAAAATCAGAAGTTGCGTTTGACTGAAAACTGCTGAAAACAACTATAACTAAAAATTTTCAAGTTTTTTTACTGCATCAATTCACTCATTTTTTGACACGATATTAGAAGTAGACATATGATACCTAGGTTTTTATTTTTTAAATTTGTAAGCCAAAAATGTTTAAATTTTCAATTTTTTTTTTTATTTTTTTAATTTGTCTAAAAATCTATAAAAAATGATTAAATAGATTCTGGTAAATTAAAACAAAAAACTATTGGAGTCAACCTGCAAAATATTTTTTATCAAAATCAATTGATTAAATTTCAAATTATTTTCAATTTATTTCTTGCAGAAGGATTATCGGATTTCTTTACATCAACTTCTGGTATTACTTTTCGGTCGATGCATGCACTGTCTTTCATTATTAAAGCCGCAGCTACTGGATTTAACTATAATTTTTTTTTTATTTTTTACCTGGATGAAAGTGCCGGCAATGATGCTCATACTGGAGGTGGACGCCAACATGCCGCGCATCTCGGGCGTGGTGATTTCGGCAACGTAGGTGAGGACGGGCGCCTCGAGCAGGCCGCCGGTGAAGCCGGTGAGGGCGAGCGAGAAGTAGAGGAGCGGCACGTTCTGCGTGTACCGCAGCATCAGCCACGCGCTCAGGATGGGCAGGTTGACCAGCATCATGGCCTTCTTGCGACCCAAGAAGTTGGTCAGTGCGCCCGACAGCAGCCCGCCCACAGGTACGCAAATCAAGTTGATACTGCCTGCGAATATAAACAAGTGCATTGGGTTGTAATTTTTTTCCTTAGATTTTGACCTATTTTGATTATTTTTGTATAGTTTCTTCCAGTTTGCTTTAATTACATTTTTTTTATTCATTTTATACAATTTTTATTAAAAAAGTGATGTTCCATCAAAAGAATTGAGAATGCAATTGAATAAAAAAGTATTAACTTTGAAAATTCTGAAAATTATTCAGTTTCAAACAATGGAAAAATTTGAACACCGTGATTTTTTTTTTTCAAATTTTCAAAACCCAAAATTTTACTTCAACCTGCACACTTAAAAAATATGAGACTATTGCCAAATCTTGATTTTAGTAATAGATAACCAGTTGAAACAATATTTTCATCATAGGGAACATAAACTATTTAATAGTTTAATAATTTAAATAAATATTTTTTTTCTAATTGATTCACAAATAATTTTTTAATTCAAAGCTTCTTTCTGTAAGCTACATTTTAAAATCCACCTAATAAAAATTCATTCCCGCGGTCCATTCAACTTGAACATAATTATGCAACAGGTCCTCTAGCTCTCATGGATGCAGTGCTAGTTGCATAATTGCTCATATCATTGCCAATTCAACTATCCCTTTCCTTACTACTTTCCTTAATACTTGTTCAAAAGTTACACACGATATTTTTCATCCATGTCAAATTTATTGCCATTAAATAACTTAATCAAACGACTTTGAAGTGTCAAACCTGTGGCGATTTTCTATTCCATAAAACCAACACCACATTGACACTTTGTGTAGCATGTTTGCAAGTCAGACCTACAAGTATCAACTGGTTTTCCACGCTAAAACAATTAATCTCAGTCTCTTATTTAAATATTTATTTATAAAGAGAAACGATTGAGACGCTCATGGAGTAAAGAAAACGGCATTTTAAAAAATATAATAACTGCGACGAAATACTTTGTTTTCATATAATATAATAATAAATAAAAAAAAATCAATGCACTCCTACTCGAGCCTTCTGAAAATCTGTCTATTAAAATATTAATTTTAGAAAAAAATATGAGAAAACTACCTGAAATTGTTTGATCTAAAAATTAAGATTGTCCCTAAAAACACTTAAAAGAACTAGTAAATTTGTTAAATTTGTTTGATAACTAATTAAACTAACAATATTGCAATGAATATTATTCTTCCAAGGTATAATAAAAAGGTGATCAAGTACCATGAGAGGTAGAGTTAGAATTTAAAAGAGTTCGCAGCACCTAAAGCATCTTGGTCCAAGAACAGGGCCACCATCCACGTGAGTTCGTAAAAAATCCCAAGAGCATTTTTTGCAAGTCTGCATCACGTGGCTCACCGCGCGGGCAGTCTTTCGAGACTTGTGCGAGTGAAGCTGATTTTTTTTCACTGCCGCAGAAGCATTCACGGAACGTCTTTTTCGAGGGTTTGAATACCGCGTACAAAAAACGGCAGTCACATGATTTGAACAGGTATAAAAAAAATTAAACACTTTACTCACTGAACCAGGAGATCTGCTCGGTTGTGAGCTGCAAATTAGGTTCGTCGCCGTTCGTAAGGGTTGGAATCACGATGGTCGGGAAGCCGATTGTCATCCCGTAAGCGAGCAGCAACAAGTTTTTCGCCATCGTTGCCAAAACCTTGATTTGCACACGTGCAATTGGTCAATAAACATCATATTTAAGGGGAAAAGTATGCAAATTAATTGATAAGAAAAAAAGGGTTTGGATTTACATAAAATTAATCACTTCAAATGAAGATAAAATATTGCATTAAATTTTAATATTAAATTAAAATTATTATTTTAATTTGTAAATCTATCATTTAATTATTTTTTTTCTAATTATTTTTAAATATTTTGTAATTTATTAAATTAAAATAATAAATTTAGATGATGGGTTTGAAAAATACAAAATTATTTGGGCTTACCAATAATCTTTTTTTTATAAAATTTTAAATTCATAGGAGTTCTATTGTTTTATGTATATAAGTTATAAATAAATCAGCTCTCTCTAATTTGTCTTTTGAAATTAAATTTTTTGATTCTTTTGAATATTTATTGGGAATAAATTCTACATTAAATAAAATATTTTTAATCTGCACTTGCAAAATTATATAATAATATTTTTCGTACCTGCGGCGCAGCTTGCCGAAGTTTGGACACAGGGGGTTGGGGTGGCCCGCTGGGCTTGTAGGCCACCATGGAGCTGAGCTCCTCATCGGTGAATTCAGGTTTCTTGGGCATGACCGGCTCGTTCGCGATCTCGGCTGCCAATGCTGGGTTGTCTGTGCCCCCATGGTCCACGGAGGCTGCTTCGTCCACCACCCTGGCGAGGAGAGAAAGAAGCGTTGTCGTCACAATATCATGTGATTTTGCTCTCTCGCACTCGGCATCCTTCGTACGCTCAATTTCATTCAATCCGTACATTTTAACTCCAGCCGCTAATTGGAGTAGAAAGAGCTATTTTGCGTGTGTCAAAACCGCAAAGGTGATCTTCTGGTTTCACTATTACAAAATTTGTCTAATAGGCCAGCATTGTCAAAACTTTTGCCGTTTCTTGAAAGAGCCGGTTTGAATTTATTAAGAAACCGCAAAAATCTTTTCCGGATAACTAATTGAATTTATTTTTAAACAGCTACATTTTAGAGAATTTCTGTGATATATTATTTTTTATCTTGGAATTTTTACACCCCACGACTATAGAGAAGTAGAAGAGGTGCAGCTTCAGAAAAGTTAAGTGAAATTTTTTATTTTAAAGCAAACATTTCCTTTGTTTATTCTAATGAAGACAAAGTTATTTTATAGTTTGGGAATTCTTTTGTTAAAATTCATCCTTCCCATTACAAATCTAGGTTACAGTCCTATATTTTTTTTTGCTCTAGGGATGTTGTCGGCTCAAATTGCACGCCAAAGTTATAGTGCCAGACACTCGGTTTCTCCACGCAAGGTTGCGGTTTCGAATGAATGTTCGTACTTGTGCATGACCGGATGCATAATTATAATTATGCCCTTAATTTGCTTAATCGATCGTTTTACAAAATTAAGATATTTTTTTACGAAGGTGTTTTGAACCTTTTTCAATGATTGTGACGCATCTTTTTCCTGAAAGTTCAATAAATGTGTAACACAATTATTTAAAATTTTCATTCCGAAAATCTTCAGCAAATTGTTATATAATCTTGTTACATAATGAATAATCCCACCAAGTAGCAAAAATTTATCGATGACGTACACAAAATATCTGCTTTCTCACAGTCCGTTGGAGGAACGCGTAAAAAAAATCAAGCTCATTCAAAACCCGTCTTTCCACCATGCACATGGCAAAGGCAAAGCTACCAATTTATTTGTAAGTTTGCACCGAGATGCCCATTATTTATGTGTATTTATGTTTTTTTAGATTATATAACAAAGTGACCAAATCCAAACGCAGCATATTAGGCGGAATTAGGGTGGAGGAGAAAATGAAAACTTTATGTTAATCTATTTTGAAATAGTCAGCAGGCGTGTCTAGCTTAACGGTTGAAACCTATTTTTCTCGAGTAAATTATTGCGAAATGTTGTGAAAAACAACAATAATCTAGTAAAAAATGAATGGGAAAAATATTTTCTATTTTTATTCAATTTATAAACAAACTTAATTGCCAATCTTCTAAAAAAATGTTTAGATTTTGTTTTTTCCAGTACTAATGATGCGTTTGTTTCACCCACTGTTGAAGAATAAATTATTTTAGAAAAAAGACTTATTAATTTTCCTTCTAATATCGACTGAGAAGAATAAATAATAATTTGTCAATGATTGTTTTACCCTAGGATACATGAAATTGATTTTCGGAAGGAAAATGTAAGTCCGCCTTGGATACAAATTGATGTGTCGTAAAAAGCGCTAGCAAAATTTGCCTTTCTCAAGAATCCTTCAGGACTCATGTGACTGACTTTACAACCTGTGTGGCGAGCGTGCGACTGTTTTACATAAAATCCCAAGAAAACCAGCCTCTCCGTACATTTGGCCTCTGACCAAATTGTTACTCTGATGGTAAAAAGTACTCGGAATTTATGCACAAACTAAGCAAGCTCTACATTTCTCTATAACTTTTTATCTGCAGACCCGACAAGAATTAAGGAGCTGCACCTCTTGTGCGTGCAAAGGAATTCGCGCAGTGGAAAGTGTGGGCCGCTGGTGGTCGTTGGAATTAATGGCGGTGGGGACACTTTTGCAATTCGCTCGCCCATTATTTTGAATTGATATTCACGGTTGGCGCTGTGCATCACGCTCAATTACCACTGCAATTGCATCAAGACAAAGAGTGAGAGTTGGCGACCGAGTTTTATCAAATTATCACGGTGAATAATATGTATGCGGGTATAAAGGACCACCAAAAACGTTGCGCAGACTATATAACTTATTTTTTTTAAATTTTTTTTAGGTAAATTATACATTAATTTAATTTTTATTATAGTAAGTACAAATTAATTAAGATAAATATTATAATAATTATTATAGATAAATTTGTATTTGTATTTTTTATTATTTATATAAAATTATTTATTTATTTATTTTATTTGTAGTTAATTACAAACTTTTGATTTTCTTCTCATTTTGCTTTAAAAGTTAATATTTAATTTTATATTTTTATTTAAAATATATAATTTTTCAAATTATATACAATATTATACACTATTATAGTCAAAGCGACATACATTCTGCAGATGTGATTTTCAAATAACACAGATATTATTATATTTCTATTTGACAATTCCTGTTTTAAATGTCAGGAGCCTCAGGAGGCTAAATTTCTGCTTAAATATTTTCACCGTTTTATAATGACAATAGATGGCAAAAGAATCACGAGAAGCTCACCAAAATTTTAGTCAGTCAATAAAATTCACACTTTTGACCAAGTCTAAGCATGACATATGCTATAAATAACTGCATTATTATTTGCTTCATGTTTTATTTATATGTCAGGCTTGAAGGATGGAAGGTCGGATTTAGCATATTTGAACTGCATGGACTTCTCTTATTTTTTTTTGTTCAGAAAAAAGTTTCGCTGCTTTGCTAAGGTCGAAGTTCTCTCTTTCTTGCATTTAACTGATTTTAAGAGGGAGATAAACCACTTTAGCCTTAATCCGATGCAATTAACCAAATGTTCCGAGAGTTTCTCCGCAATTTCTGTCTGGAAATAAGCCAATTAAATTGTCGCAAAGTAAGCAACTTTTGCAAGAGGTAAATAAACGGACTTTGCCCTTGTTTGAATTTTTTCTATTCCAGATTGGCCCTTCCAGTTCACGGTCTGCGACCCTGTTTCAAGAGAAAGAAAACATTTTGCAAGTTTCACCAGACATCTATTCAAACAGTGCGCAATTTAATACTTTAAGCAAACATTTGCATACTATCTATCGCAGTTTATCAAAGTGCTACAAAAAATATGCTTCTTGACATAGGAAACTTCAAAATTAGGCTATTTTATCAAGACATTACTAGAACAGGGTGAAAGGTCATTGCATCTTACTTGTTTGTACATTTAAAATACAGTTTATTTATTCATTATTTATAATAAATTTAAATTTTATTTATTATTGCGTCATGTCAATAAAAGCTCCTGAAATGGAATTGTACCTAAACACTTTACGACAGACGACAGACATTTATGATTATTTATTGAAAAGTCCTTAACGCAGAGAAAGCGATCAAAGTCTGTGCTTATAAAATTCCGACTAGTACATTCGATTGTAATGTATTAAGGATGGAGATAAAAATGGAAAAGGATTTTGATCCTCAAAATGATTATCTTATCTCTATTACTCAAAAACAAAACTCATTCTCTTAAATTGAACACTAGAAATGAACTCGGACGCAGCATGTGAATAACACGCGCCTTTCCAACAGTGAAAAAAGCAATCAAAATATTGAGAGGCTCGTATACTAAATGACAAATCTCTGATATCAGAAAAAATTCAATTATTTTCATCAGCACTTCAATGGCATCTCAAAACGATGAGATAAATTATTCTTTGAGCCTTAAGCACTCATTAACCTATATGAATAAAAACAAAAATATAAATAAATTTAATTAATTTAAAAATGTTGTTGCTAAGTTTTTGCACCCGTAAATTTGAAAAGAATTTGCATCCTGATTGATTTCCAATATAAACCAGCGTTCAAGTGCATTGAGCGATTTCAACAGAGGAAAGGGAGCTCCTTTCTTGCGCTGCTTACAGATGCAGTGCTTACAAGGCCATTCTCTGCAGTCAGAAAAAGAATACGGCGCTCCTCAAGTCCCTCTTCTTATAAATGCTGTTATACAATTCAATTCAAAACGCCATGCATTATTCTTCACAATATACTTGCTTTCTTATTTGAATCGTAATTTTTGAAATGACCGCCTTCCTGTCTCTGAATTTTGAGAAAAAAAAAAACTGAAATGTAGAATTCTTGCAAAACCGTTGGTAACTTGCAAATAAATGAGCCAAAGTGACACGTGACATTTTCCAAACATAATTAATTTGACCAAGGATTTGGTTCATGAAATAATAAAAAAAAAAATCAGCACTCTTGATTACAAAATCTTATCTTGGAATAAATTAGGAGTTTCGTTAAAAATAGAATATTTTATTTTGTATGTTAAATTGAAACCGGGCTTAACCTTGTTGAAAAAAAAAGAGAAAAGACCCCCGAAAAGGCGACTTGCGGTCTGCTAGCTTTGAGCGTTAAATTTCAATTTTATTTTGCGTTTGAATTAAAACAACCGATAAATAAATAAAAAAAGATGCTTAATTATAAAAAAATATCAGGACATTATTAAAATTTATTAATTTTAAGTGACCACAGGATCATTGCAAGCGTAAAAATGCTTCTGATCTCGTGTTGAATTTCAACTTGACCTTCGTAACTTGAATAAACAAAGAGGTCCACCTGCAAAAAAAAACTGGTCAAGCCGCGACCTTACGATTTCCTCCCATTAAAAAATATTGTTAACCCTTGCGATATATGCGAACGGTGAACGAAACCACTTTCTCAATTAGCATCTGAGCTCCCTAACCTCACTCTCTATCGAGAATAACAAACTGGTTGAACGAGGTGCGAGAGAAAGAGATTTCAAGGCTCCAGATGTGCATAAATGTCACAAACGGGGGCAGTCAATGAACCGTCGATGCAAATAATCCCATCTCCAGCGTTAACAAAAATTTTAAAATAAAAAATATACTCACTCGCCGCGGACAATATTTTCCATGGATGACATCATGTTGTCTTAAATTTCTTGATTTATTCAAATTGGTCTGAAATTAGAATTTCTCAGACGGACATTGCGGAATGATCGAAAGGTAAAGATGATCGGTGTGTGTCCGACAATTACTGTCACCCTACCCACCACAGAGAGCCAACTAGGTCGCGCACCACTGCTCCGTTCAATTTATAAGGAGGCGTGCATTGTTTTACCTATTTATCTCTGGCAAGGTGCATTCGCGATTGAGAGAAAAGCAGCGCGGCTGGATGCGGTGGCGCGTCAGAAGCGACTCAAACACTCTCACTCTCAATAGCACCAGTGCCACCACCGCCGCTGCATTTCAATAATTTCACCGCCTCCGGCGTCGCTATAGGTACTTTTGAGTGACGCACTTTTAGCCTAACTCCTTCCGCGCGCCCACAAAACAGATGAATGAATTTTTTTTTCGCCTCGGCGCAATGCAGATCATGAGGTGCATTTTCGAAAAGGACTGGCAGCCTTGTTGGCCGAGTTTGGTGTCACGTTCGGAGGGAAGCCTTGCAGAGGCAACTTTTTCGTGGCTCATGTGATTTTTGTCTCTCCTTCCGCTTCCGAAAATCTATTTATATAAAACTCGTCCAGCGGAACGATTTGATCTGGATTGATTTATAAGAAAATATATAATGAAGCGAATAATGAGATGATTAATTTTTTTGCAACTTGTGTACAACCGAGGTCAAATGGGGTCACCGTACCGATGAATGAAAGACGGCATGAATGAATGGGGAGAGATGCCACTGACGCGATATCCGGTGGCAACATACATAGGTATTGATTTAGCAACGATATTATGTTGGCTTCTGCTTTAATTACAAACGCCTCCTGGCCGAGGATTACAGGGACTTTCCATTGACAACAAATATGGAAAAAGCAAATATCATTTCTTTGATTTTTACAAAACAATCAATCGCATTATTTTAAATAAGATATTTTAAGAAAATTTTATTTTCTTGTTATGGCGATTTGTACAAATAAAATATACAACAAAAGCAATTTAAGACAATAATAAATAGAAATAACATTTGCTACTGATACATTAATGAAAAATTCTTTACTAACGTCAGTGGTTTTTGTTGTTGTTTTTTTTTTTTTTTAAAACTTCCCTACAAATTCATCAAAGAAGATAAGTTATTTTATAATTATTTGCAAAACAATGTATTGACAAAATAATTTTTTCATACGATTTTTTTCTTCTTGCACTTCTTATTTCAATGGACAGAATTCAGTAATAAGAACAATTATTTTATAGCTTCCTGTAAAAAACTCACATAACATAATTTATGTAAAAAAATATCAGTTAATTATGATTCAAAAACTGAATGTTTTTTCATTTACTCAATTTTCTTTCTCACATTTAGAACCATCTCATGCTTTTCATTTGAAGCAAAAACTTAGAAATTCACAGATTTTTCTATATTTGAGGATGAATTTTAAAGAAAATTCATATCCTCAATTTATTTTATTTTTTTTCTTTCTGGAAGCTTTTAATCGTATAGCTTTTTGTACAGTCGAAAGGCGCAAGTCATTTGCTAAATTTATGTGACAGACGGTTCCATTCAATCAATCAATCTACGGCAGGAAAACACGCAGTCTTCGCTAATAATAATAAGAAACTCTGCGACTTTGGTACGCACGTGACATTTCTCTTGAGCGGGCAAAGACAAAGAAGCTTATCTACAGCGTGGCACGTACGAGAGATTATTCAGATTATTTACCTTGAGAGGTACTTTTTACTATCACACTTTTCCACTCTCTCGCCAGATATCGTATTAACAATACAATGTGCCTCTTCTAGGGATTAACCTTTCCTATAATGCACGTTGCGCCCAGCTGAGAAATCGAAAGTGGCTGCGACACGACGGATGTAATCACAAAAAGCAATTAAAGCGTCGCTCACTCGAATTGGCACTTTAATGTGCTCGGAAATTTTGAAACAATCCACCTTAAGCGACAAAGTTTGAAATCACCGTGTAATTGCAATTGCAAGTAAATAACGATTGGGTGTGAAATATTAAATTTCTTTTCGTGACCTTTCATTGGGAAATTTTGAGTTCCTTGAAAAAAAGGATGGAAATCGAAGTGAAAGCTGTTGCGTTTAACCAGATTTTTCTAGACTTCAATGCAAAAGAATCATTGAACTCCATTTAACCCAAATCTATAAAAAAATACATAAAATAAAAAATGAATAAATTAAAATAAATTGAAGCTACAGTTTTATGACAGTTTTGTTGTTGAAATACTTATTTTTCAACTTAAATATCAGTAAAATCCATAGTTAATTAATTAAATGGTACAAAACTTATATATTTATTTTAAATGACAAGGTTTAAAAATATTTTGTTAAAAACAAAAATAAGAATAATTGTTAACTATTTTAGGTTTAAATTTAAAATAATATTAATTTGGAAAAGCTTACGATTTATTAAAAAACAAATTGTTGATGTTTCATTGCATTCCAGTATGTTAATCAAAAAAACAAATACCGTGGTTAGGCTATCCGCCTAACAGTCTTGCGCTGCCTTTTGCCTAAGCACAGGGGCTTGGTTGAATTTGATGCGAGCGGAGAGAGGCGCCGCCAATGGAGCACTCGGTATGTGCCTCGGCTAGCAACAGGTGGCCCGCCGCCGACGGAGCCTCCAGAGCCGGCGCCGTCAATTGGTGCTCGTGGTGATAAACAGTCCATCTCCGTCCCTACTCCGGCAGCATCTCCACGCGCATCTTGCTAAACAACAAAAAAGCACAACAACAGTGAGAAAAATAAGACGCCTCCGGTCATGATCAACATATTTGCAGGTATAATTTTAATTTGGTTTAACTCGGACAGATCTTTTAGACGTTAGATTCATGTCGACACTTTCATTCAACCGTTTTGGGCACAACTTGTTTTTAGTTTAGTATGTGCTGTGACGAGATGTACTTTTTGACCTCGAAGCAGCGGCAGCTCCTACGCCGCCAAATGAATCAGCCTTGAATCTTGAATTTTTATACTATCTCAACAACTTTGTTTCTATTTAATGTTTATCTTTAAATTTATATAGCTTTTAATCCGTAATTAAAAAAAAATAATTCATAAATATTTAGAAAAAATACTAACAATAAGGTCTAGACCGCAAAATTGACCGAAATTAATTTTATTTAAAAACTATTGATATAAAATTATACAACTCCATTTGTTTAAAAAGTTAGAAAATTTAGAAATTATTATCATAAATTTTTTACCATTTCAATTTATTTGGGACAAAACAAGCGCATAATTTATTAAAATCTTTTAAATATTTGTAATAATTTATTTAAATAAATAAGTTAAACTTTTAAAAATAAATAGTAAATTAGAATTACTAATATTAATTATTTATAATTTAATTTTTATAAGGCACATAAAACATTTGGTTCCTTAAACAAGATTAAATTGATTATAATTGATTGAAAAATTACATTAATTTTAATTCAAAAGGTTTTCGGGCCGGACGGTCAGGCGCGAATTGCAGTCCAGCGCTAGGAAAATTTCTGTCAACCAGCAGCGTGCCCGAAATGCCTCCCTGCGATCACCAGCCGCGACCATACGAAGTAAGAAAGGCGTCGAGTTAATTAACAACCAGCTGAAGGGTCTCTGCTTCTAATTTCAAGGGTCCCGACTACACCAAAGTGCAGTCAATCAAGAAGCAAAACATCGTGCCGTGCATCCTTTCCTACTACAAGAAGCCTTTGCTGGTGCACGAGGGTCACATGCAGTGGCTCTTCGACCACAACGGCAAAAGATATCTGGACATGTTTGGTGGCATCGTCACGGTCAGCGTCGGACACTGCCATCCGTATGTGGAAATTTACTTTCATTTTTTAATTAAAATAAAATCATAATTAAAATGTCAGTTTTCTAGAGCTTTCTGTATTTACGAAAAGAAATAATACAAAACTTCTTGCTCAAAAAGAGGTTCAACATTGGAATTTTAAAATACTCTTAAAAACTATTTTGGTAGTTAAAATCAATTTTTTTTTAAATTATTTAAAATGTATAAAATTTCTCCAAACTGATGCTTGAATAAAATAATTATTTCAATTTATTAAGAAAATCATAAAAAAAATTTATTTTAATCATCTACTATAATTGTAATTTTTTTGCTTTTTAAAGCTATTTTTAAAATTGAAAAGTAATTTTATAGTTCCAATCTTAATTTTTTTACATTATATTATGATTAAAAATTTATAAAAGTCTTCCAAACCGATGTTTGAATAAAATAATGAATTTATAAAGAAAACCATGAATAAATTTATTTTAATCAATTACCGTAATTGTAATTTTCGGATGAAATTTAATAAAAATTAATTTTGAAGGAAAGTGAACGAGGCTGCGATGGAGCAAATGAAGCGGCTGTGGCACACAACCAACATTTACATGCATCCCAAATTGCACGAGTACGCCGAGGCGCTGACGTCGAAAATGCCCGGAGAATTAAAAGTCCGACAATCAAGGACGTGCTTCTTAAATTTGATTAACTCTTTCAATAACAACGCAGGTCGTCTATTTCGTGAACAGCGGGTCAGAGGCCAACGACCTGGCCATGCTGATGGCCCGAGCGTACACGCGCAACTTTGACGTTATTTCTCTGCGAAACGCCTACCATGGGATGAATCCGTACATTCAGGGCGCCACGGCCCTTTCCACCTGGAGGTACAATGTGCCCATCGGAAACGGAATTCATCACGTAAAAATATTAAAATATTTTAAATTTACATACAACAACTTTTATTTTGTGTATAAAATTGTAGGCCATGAACGCAGACGTTTATCAAGGAATCTGGGGAGGCTCTCACTGCAGGTCGGTTATTTTTTTTATAAGATTATTATTTTCTCAAGCAAAATTAATGAAACTGGGCTTAACAAGGAGCTTATGCATCTGATATCTACACAGTAAATACAACTTCTCAACCTTTTCTCATAAGATCATAATGTAAAATTTTTTATGTTGACTGACCTAATGATTTTATTTTTCCATCATAATTGGGGTGATATGAACGTGATTTTCTGAAACTTTTCATAAAGCCAATTTAAAGTAACAATTAGTTAAGAAATTAAAAAAAAAAATGAATAATTCAGTTCACTCAATAAATTCAATTTTTCTTGAAATATAATGAAAAACTGCAAACCCAAAAGGAGACCTGCGATTTGCGGGTTTTTATAAAAAAATCATGATTTCTTGTGTCCACCAGTTCCTGTGGTAAATATGGAATTTCACGAAAAACAAATAAATTTTGGAATTAAAATAATTTAATATTTAAAATTTTATTTCATTTTTGCAACAAGGATTAGCCAGTTTACATTTTTGCATGAATCCACCTCAAAATGCTATAAATTTATATAATTTTAACATTTCATTCTTATTTTTAGAGATTCTCCGGTTCAAACTAGCAGGAAGTGTTCTTGCAAACCCGACGAATGTCAAGCTTGTGATATGTACTATGGGCAGCTAGAGGAGGTTTTCAAATTTTCCCTGCCCAGAGGAAAAGTAGCAGCGTTTTTCGCCGAGTCAATTCAGGCAAGTTTATTTTCTCAAAATTTATTTTAATAGTAAAATTGTTAAGACTTTGTGAAAAATGTATTTTTGATTGCACTAAAAAGTTCTTAATTATCTTTCAAACTGGAAAACCTGTCACCACAAGAGAGCTCTAGGATTTTGTAACTAAAATTTGAGCTTATTATAGAAAAAAAGCATTTGAATCATTTTTACAAGTCAACTAATTTTTGGAAGTGAATAAGTCGGGCTTTTTTGTTGTTCTTAACTTCCATGATAACTTCCATGAGTTTCAATTTTCTGAAACCAATAATTTTTGTTTCAATTTTAGGGCGTCGGAGGAACGGTTCAGTTCCCAAAAGGCTACATCAAGAAGGCTTTCGAGATCGTCCGAGCAAACGGCGGCTTGTGCGTTTCAGACGAGGTATGGTTTTAATTTAACTACTTATTCTCCATTCAAGATAAATTTTTACGCTCAATCAACAATTTAATATTTTTAAATTTGAATCATTTTTGTAATTATGACTTTTTATTTCTTTCAGGTGCAAACTGGTTTCGGTCGCACGGGAGAAACGTTTTGGGGCTTTGAATCTCACGGCGTCGTGCCTGACATTGTGACCATGGCCAAGGGCATCGGCAATGGGTTCCCCTTGGCCGCCGTCGTCACAACGTCCACGATCGCCGAGGCTCTGGGACAGGCGCTCCATTTCAACACTTTCGGGGGAAATCCGATCGCCAGCGCCACGGGATTAGCAGTTTTAAAGGTCAGCCCAACAAAAAGATAAATTTACTGATTTAATTGAAGATTATATTCAATTATTATCATTGCGGTAATTAAAGTCATTTGAACAACAAACGATTAAGATTGTATCTAGTGTAATCATAATTCGTCTTACTTGAAGTGAATCAGTCATAAATCAAAAGAATTAATCAAAATTTAATAAACAATAACAAGCACAAATTATCAAATTACATTATATTATTTTATTATTAGTATTTATTAAATTATTATATGAATTATCACATTATAATATTACAAGGTTTTGGAAGAAAATGATAAAAAAATTAAATATGGTAATTATTAAAGACAAAAATTACAGATACAGGCAGTGTAAATAATACGTTTTCATACTCCAAATTTGGTAAATTGAGTAGAAATATTAATTAATTGGTGGAAGAACTTTATTGAAAAAGTTTAGAATAATTTTTTTACATAAAATCTATTTCTAATGGAAAAAAATTATCAAATAAAGTTGAACTTAATGTTAAAATAACATATTTATTATTTAATATTGTTTACTATGAAAAATGAAGGAAAATTAATTGAAGTTAATCAGATTTTATTTGTGACCTAAATAAATGTTTAAGATTTGAACCACTTCCTTGAGTTCGATCAAAATAAATTGACTAGTTGTTTTTCAATTTTGGTACAACTTTTCAAATTTAATTTTCTCATTGGCTTCGATTTTCTTTACAATTTTAGGTGATTGAAGAGGAGAAAACCCAGGCCAACAGTTTAGCGGTCGGAACTCATTTGCTGAAGCGACTCGCGAAAATCAGGGACCAATTCCCGAACATCGTGGGCGACGTTCGCGGAAAGGGTTTGATGATCGGCGTCGAGCTCGTTGCGGACGGCGAGTCTCGCACCCCGATGCAGTCGCCGCACTTCCTCGACATTTGGGAGGAGTGCAAGGACAGGGGCGTCCTGCTCGGACGGGGCGGACTGCACGGAAACGTAAGTTTTTCGACCCAAATGATAAAACGCCTTGAAATATTTATCACTAAAAACAGAGTCGTAATTTTCAAAGGTTATCAAAAACGACCGCTGTTGACCCAGTTTATTTTTTTTCCTCATATTTGAATTTTTTTCACAGGTGTTGAGAATCAAACCACCCATGTGCATTACTAAGCAGGACGCCGATTACGCGGCCGATATTCTGCATTTGGCAATCACACGCTTTGCCGAGCGCGTCTTGAAAAAATAAACAAATTAATTAAAAGTGCCAACGCCAGTTTCTTGTGTTCTTTGTTTAATTGCGAAATTTATAATCAACTTAATTGTCAATGCAAGTGGCGTGCTCAGGATTTAAACTCTCTAAAGAAATCACAAATCAAAATAGACCTGCGAATGAATGTGGGAAAATAATACTCTTCCTATCTTGTACAAATAATTTTTTGTTCCAAACAAATATTAAATAAAGAAATTATTTGAGAAAAAAAAAGATTTTTTTTAGTGCAGAAGGTACTGCAAATTCCTTAATTCCGGCAACAATATTCCTTAATCTAATAAAAATCATTGTTGATTCATAGATCAAAGTTGTTCTTTGTTGTGGCTTTTGTGGAATAAGAAATAATGGGACAAAGTTGCTCCAGGTTGAAAAGAAATCACAGGTGATCCAAGTAATTTCTTAGTAATTTTCTGTTCTGGTCAATGCGTAATTCTGGTCCCTCGAATACTTTCAGCCCCAAACCTCGCTCCCTATTCTTTCATTAGACTTGCAAAAGACATTTTTTGATAAATCGTGCATTATTAATAATATTTAAATTGTATCTTTCATCCTAGAAATTTAATCACTTTTCCTTTGGGGATATTTTTCAGAGATTTTATATAACTGTGATAAAATGAAGAAAAAACCCACAAAACAAAATGAATTACCGTAAAACACGTCCGGACGTGATAAAATAGTATTTTTCCGCTTTGCCGACCGCAAGAATGAAAAGTCATAATAATATTATAGTCATGAATATTTTTTCCTTAAATGTGTTATACAATGTGCATGGATCGTTGAGAACATTAAACTCAAAATTTAGTTGAAAAGGTCCCTGGAAAGTATGTTTTTAACAATAAGTTAATTCAATATAATTATGAGACATTTAATTATATATTTTTTTATAGTTAATATCGTTAAATTCATATTATTGTTTTTTATTTTCCTACAATTTACTTAATATTAAAGAATTTTAATTTTTTTGCACAGCAAAATTATTCATAAGCTCAAAAAAAAAATCCACTAAGCACTGTTTATTATTAAAAATGGAAAAGAATTAATTTCTGAAAAAAAAATATAGCTTAAACGGTCCGAAAATTGAAAAAAAAAAATGAAAGTAATTCTCTTGAAGGTACGGTTCTCGTTTGATATTCATTTATTTATTTAATAGGAATTAAACAATTCGCAAAAATCCATGATCCATAATCAGAATGAAAGTTGAAGCGAATTAAAAAAAAATATATTTACAAGAAGACATTCTTCGCCAGTCTGTGCACACATTAAAAATTGTCATTCGCCCTCTCATAAAAGTGTCCCCTCGCACGGTATAAATTTCCTGTGTAAACCCTAAACACCGAGGCGTCCCGAAATATCAAGATGAGATTATATAGAAGTGCAAATACATGTGCTTGTGTGTACAATTATGTAACGCGAGAGTGTGGGACATTCGGCCGGTCGCGACTCGGCAGATTGTACGGCTGCACTTTGGTGGTCGCGCGCGGCACTCGGCCGAGTGCAGACTGACGGGGCCCTTTGCAGTGTCATTTGTGCGCGATATCAATTATCAATGGCGAGGAAATTATGTGTGCCCCGCCGAAATGAGCGGCGCGTGGTGGGGGCGGCGCGGATATAAGAATGGGGACCGTGTTCTCCACTTAATCCCTTCTACTCAGCCGTTTACCCGCGCGCGAGAGGCTGTTCGCACCGACCGACCACGAGGATAGTAAACGAGCCAGTGTTGCTTCTGCAGGCGGACAGCAATTATTCACACCGCGACCACTCTCGCCATGGCTGCTGACTGGGGATACAGTCCCACTAATGGTAAGTTCCGATTATTCTAATAAACAATGCATTTTTTTTTTTTAAATTTATATCGAAAAAAACTAAATGAAAGAATTATATATTTTGCAGCATTTCATAGATTTAATTTTATATCTAATGCAGCTTTTCCAGTGTTTTTAGAGAATTTAATTTTTGTTTATATTCGATTAATTATTCTTCCACAATTAACATTACTCGTTTAAATCCCAGTAAAGAAATTTATATCAACATTAATACTACTTAAGAGATGTTCACACAAAAAAAATTTTTAAATTTACTTCAGTTGTAGAGAGAATTTTTTATATAAATAAATTATTTTAATTTAAATTACTTAGTTTAAAATTGTTTTACACTAAAAAATTATTTGAAAAATATTATATTAATAATTAATTAAATAAATAAAAGGATATCTTTTTTAATTTAGTTTTTTTTTTTAACTAAAAATCAAATGGAGATTACAAAACTTACTTTATGCAATTCATTCTTTCTAATCCGCTCATTTTTTTTTTGTTTTTTAACAAATTGCATCATGTCATGGACAAAATCAAATTTTTTCCTTGTTCCAACCGTGTGTCAGCAGTTTGCCAGTGCAAACTAATTTTCTTTGGTCTCTCTATGCAAATAGTCAAATAGAAAAAGCGCGTCACGTCACTTTGGCCAACTTGTTAGACGTGGTCGGTTAATTAACAATCTCTACATGCATACAATCAAATAACAGTGACAAAAGAGTTAAATCAACACCGATCTAATTCAATTAACTTGCATATTGACTTAAATCATTTCTAGACATAGATAAAAAAATTTGTTTCTTCACAACTGTCAAACTTCTGTTAAGATAAAACGCACATGTGAACGCAATCGGATTCGGTTTCCCCACATCTGGGCTTCGGAATTGTTTATTTACCTTTCGAAGGAAAAATTCGTTTGAGAGAAAAAAGTAATTGAGGGTGCGTCGAAAGAAATCTCTCTGTCAGGACAACGACCTGTGCGTTTCTTTCTAACAAAGATTAACTTTGCGAGTTAACGCGCTTCAACCTTGACCCAGAAACCCTCTCGCTTGTATTTAAGATCCCAAAGTCGGCAGGGAAAAATTATAATAGACCCATTTCCATATCCCAAACGTCGCAATTTCCCCAGCCGGTTTCATTTCTGGGCGAATCTGGTTTGTGCTGCAACAAATTAAAATGCACTGCGATGGGCTCGGCTTCTTTTACGATGTCCTAGTGAAAGTGTCAGGCTTATGTAAAAGCAGTTGATTTTGACAAGGTGTGGCGTTTTTATTTTCATTTCAAGATCGAGTGAGAATAATAATAGCTTATAAGCTGCATAGAAGGCTGGCCAAGATGCCGTAAAAATGCAGCCAATGCGATTTCGCGACTAATTGGAGCAACCTTTGTACATAGTAAAGTTAAAAAAGAATACAAATCTAATTTATTCTCTCGTGCCAAATCACGCCTACACGCAGAAATCGGACCATGAAAGTTGTTATTATGTGAATAAAAGTTGCGCAACCTCAAGTCATTGCATAAAGCGGCTCACTTTCGGTCCAATAACAAGTCAATGTTCTGATTTTGATACAAAAATTTGCTCTCCATTCGATTGGATTAGTTATCAGAGTAGATGGAAGCAAAAATTAAGTAATTAGAATTACTAATCTGAAGATAAAGGAGAGACAATGATGATAACGCTTGGGTTAGGTAATTATAAAGGTGATTAATTCCATTGGAAATAATAGGGCATGAACAGAGGGATTTGTTTTTAATTATTTTGAAAATAATATGCAATTTTCAATGAAATAACTGATTTTATGTAAAATTTTGTTAGTCAAAATAAGGAAAATATGGGTAATTCGATAACTTCCAATTCAAAATTAGCCAAATTATTTTATATTTCACTAATTTTTATAACAAATAAGTCTTTTCTGGTAAAAAAATCACAAATCACAACATTTATTATTGATTAAGTTGTAAAAACTTTTTTAAAGAAGAATTTCATCATTTTTAAATATTATACTGAAATTCACAATCAAGTACAAAAATTAAATATTAATTTAAATCAAATGTGATTCTTTGATTGAAAAAAATTGCGAAATTTAGCCTTGGTTGAGAAAACCAAACCAATTTTATCAATTGCAGACCTTTCATAAAAAGTAATAGTTGCGATTCGAATCTTAAATTATTACTTTGCCGACCAGACACTTAATTGCATTTTGACCTCTGTGCCGAATTTTGATTGCTCTGCATTCAAAAATTACTCGACAACCTTGACAGAGTTAATACCGATCACGCCCTTTGGCCAAATGATTTATCTTAATTGATTGATACATTAAATCACACAGAACTTTAACCTCAAAATCGCTGCTGGCTGCAATTTTGAGGCGAAAACAAAGTAAATGTACTGCGTGCTGGCTAAGAAGCAGCCCAAGGGTGCAAATCACACTGTCCAATTATGCTAATGGAAATCTAGTGTCTCGAGGTGCGCGAGAGAAACTGTTTCATGTACATTTATTTGTCTTGCATGCACTCGCTGCAGGTGCAGGAACAAATATATAATCGTTTTCAAGGTGACCCCGCTTCGCAATTAGAAAAATCCCACACACGATTTACCTTTTTATCTTTTCATTTTTAAAAGGAAAAAGCACTGCGCATAAAAAATAAGTTGAGTAATTCAATATTTATATTAATGAATTTTTAATTCAAACTCTAATTTTTTTTCTTGGAGAGTTTCTTATGAGTCGTTATCAATCTTTTCATAGATAAAAAAAAACAATATGTTACTCTTTTTATTTATTTTGATTCAGGCCATCGATCGTGGCCATTCACATAAATGGATATGATCGCTAACTATTTTTTTGATTGATACAGTTGTCTCTTATTTCCTGGAAAAATTTATCAGAAAAAAATACCTAATCAGCGACTTGAACTTTGTCTGACAAGATCAATTAATTGCCAAATGACGCTTTCTATGGTTGAATTAAACAAAGTACGTTTATTAAAGTAAAAAATAGGTTAAAATTGAATTTAACGTTAAACATAGAAAGAAAATTTATATTTTAGTGCTTATCCAATGATCGATTTTTGATTGTTTTGAAAATTGAGCTATTTATCTGATATCGCGGAAGCTTGATTGAATCAGCCGGTAATGATTGTATGATTACAAGCACAAAAAATCCGAATATATCAATATATCGATTTTAATAATAATACCATTTTCAAATTCTGTTGCTTCCAAAGTCAACTCCAAGCACATAAAAAATCTACAAATTTAGCCACCGTTGCGATTTTTTAATCCCAGTTCGCAGCTTGAATAATTTATTGGTCTTTTAACTTTAAAAAAAGTAGGGGATATTTAATTCTGGCAATTTTTTAACTCACAATTTTAAAGCCCAACGAAGATGCAAAGAAGAAACTTCTGTTGGTAAATTTATGCCGATTAATTTCGCAACAGCGCTTGCTTGAGCACAATCAATGATAAAAGAAGCGTGAAGTGCACTCACTCAAAAGTGCACTCGCTTAGAAAACGTTGAGCAAAAGTGCAAGTAATGTTAATATGCGTGTGGCCAACCGTGCACCTACTTGTTTGCCTCCAGATTTGCTCCCATTCAAATGGCATTTGACACTTTGCGCCTTAATTGACATGTGGTTCAAAGCTTTAAATCCATTTGATACGGAGCTTAAGCAGATAGTTATGAAATGTTTATTTTGTTTTGAATTATATACAAAACGACTAATCCAATTTGATCTATAAATGATAATAATTTTGATTATTATTAATTAAATTTATTATCTTTCAACAAATCCAAAATGATTTTTGATATTGACTGATATGCTCTTTTTAACGGGCACTCACACTCAAGAGTTATTTGGGAATTTCATTATGAGAAAATTCAATTCCAAAGACAATAAATTCTAAAAACAAATTTAAACACTTGCCTAGATTTCAGTCAGTAAAATTTTTATCAAACCAGTCAAATAAAATCTTTACATGAAAATATTTTATTATTAAATGTCCCTTAACAGTTTTACTGAAACTTAAAAAATAAATAAATTCTATTTTTACAACAAACGAATAATATAAATAATCGGGTGAAGAGTTTATTACATTTGTGGAATAATGTTGCTAAAAATTGCAAAATCTGCGTTAAAAACGCGAGGAAAATTGAAGCCGAGGAATTATGATTGCTCATTTGGACCCATTAAAACCTCGTAAAAAGAGCACCTCTTTTGACTCTCAAGCACGCAACAATTGAACAATGGTCTGATTCAAATTTATCACACAAGTACCTCATTAAAGCTTTAAAAAAAAGTACCTAAGATAAACATACACCTCAGCCTCACCGCCTCTTCAAATAAAACCTCGTGAAAAGTTTGAAAATAGAACAATATAAAATTGATTTTACGCTCACTTGGCTACATTTCGCATCAAACACTTTTACAACAAAACACTTTTATTTTACAGGGTAATCTGCAGAGCCATTCAACCGAATAAACAACTTTTATTTTTTCTTTCGCCGCCATCAGGGTTAACATTAAATCCGCGAACGGTTTGATCGCGTTTGCACAGGTTAAAATTAGCATTGTTTGACGACTTGGACGGCTTCGTTTTACAGCCGTGTTATGTCAAGAAACCCAGCAAAGCCTCACAAATCGGTACACGAATTGCACAACAACGATGACAAGAGCGAATTCCAATTTTCCTGTGACGGCAAAAGATGAAGGCCTCGGACTCCGTTAAAAAATGCATCCTTCAGAGAGGAAGAAGAAGAAGAGTCTAGCAGTGTATGTGTGTCGGAATCACGAGAAAAGTCAAGAGGCGTGCAAGTGGAGAGCAGCGGAAATCTCTGCTATCAGCATCTTCTCTCGAGTATCCCCTCTGATTACAGATTGTGGCCACTCCAGCTGAACCCTCCACGTCGCGCCTCATTCCATAAATTAATCATCAACGAGCCGGCAAAAAATTTAATGGAAAAACAATTAATTTTCTTTTACTTTTATCAATTT